TGTATACGGACGCTATAAAAAAAAATCCATCTCCTCGGCGGCTATATATCTTTCTTTCTTCTCAGTGACACGGCTAATCCAAAACCTATCCGCGTAAAATATCGGATAATTACCATGAAAGGACAAGCAATGAGCATTAATCCAACAAAAGCTACGCATTTAGATGAGAACATTAAAGTAACAATCTGAAATAGTCCTGAAAATTCATAGTGAGTACTAGTAGATGAGCGCCAATTTTGGACGGCGGGACCTACACCAACATCACTCATTTCAAAAGCATTAACACATGGAATAACAAGAGTACATACATAAAACCCACCACTTACTCACAAACTGATGTCTAGTATAACAAAAGTACATACATAAAACCCAACCACTTCTCACAAACTGATATCTAGTATTTTTTCCCCCCTCCATACGCATACTCCCTCAAAAAGAGTTGCAACTTACACACTCACGCACATTTTTCCCCCCACCATGTACGTACTCCCTCAAACGAGTTGCAACTTGCACACTCATGCACGTTAACCTAAAGTTCAATGCATTTAGAACGAGACTTTAATACCAAGCAAGGCCATAAGCTGAGAAACAAACTCTGGATGTCCAGGCCAAGCTGCACCTGTGACTAAATTTCCATCAGTGAAGCAACGGTCAATAGGGTCAGGCTCCAACCACGTCGCTCCTCCCAGCACCACATTGAGCTTCACTGCTGGATACGCCGTGCATTTCTTCCCCTGTAAGGTGCGATATTAAATAAATGGTAAGCATGGAACAATCATGGTGAAAGTTCGGTATTTTAGCAGTTGTTGCTTATTCCCCCCTGAGGATAAATGCACTGCAACTGTTCATTCTACCGGCAAAAGCCCATGAAGAAATGGACTCGGCTATGGGGTTAACAATTCAAAAGTCAGTAAAAACAAAATATTGAATCAACGTTATCTATTAAAGTAAATTAACGGAAACACTAATTTTAATAATCTACATCGTGACACATGCCATCCTTTTATTTTCGCTCTCCCCTATATATAATCTTTCATAAGTTGATGTCCATATAATTATTTTCCCGATAATTACAGATTCAGTCTTCCTACGTGGTGAACCCCTATAAGGAGGGGCGGCTGAAGACGCCGGCGAGATTGCTGCTAGAGTAGGATAGGATGAGGCCAATTTGAATGATGTGGAGGGCGTCGACTTTGTTTCATATTGCAATACCGATCAACAGGGGTTTGAAGGTTGTAGAGTCTGGAGAGGTGGTAGATAACGCCGAGGAACTCGGTGTCGACCACAATGAAGGGGTAGGTTTTGACCAGGTTCCAAATAAGGAGGAACTCGTTGGTGAGGTTGTCAGCCCACACCTGGTGGATGCCGAGCGTAGGTTGTGTTGAGGTTTTTTGAATTCATGAAAGGAGGGAAGGTGAGAATGTTGTTTTCTTTCTTTCTTTCTTTCTTTCATTCTTTATTATTATTATTATTATTATTATTATTATTATTAAGGAGGAACTCGTTGGTGAGGTTGTCAGCCCACACCTGGTGGATGCCGAGCGTAGGTTGTGTTGAGGTTTTTTGAATTCATGAAAGGAGGGAAGGTGAGAATGTTGTTTTCTTTCTTTCTTTCTTTCTTTCATTCTTTATTATTATTATTATTATTATTATTATTATTATTATTATTATATATTGTTATTATCATTATTGTTGTTGTTGTTATTATTGTCATTACTACTACTACTATTTGGTAATTTAAGACGTGTTCACAAGATGGATAAGATTCTGGGTTCCTGATTGATAGAAAAATATTATATCGCAAGCATTCTATGGAAGGTTGCATACGGGAGAGGGAGGATAAAGGATGCCATGTGTTACAATATAGATTGTTAATTAACGCTCCATTAATTTATATTAATAGATAAAATTGATTCAATGTTTTGTACGTACTGAGTTATCAAACGTTAACACCATTTAAGTCGTGACCTAACTGTTTATTCAATGTTGGACTATATCTCAACCCACACCTGAACTGAATGGATGCAAGAGATTCCTAACACTTGCTAGTAGCCAAACTCTCTGAATGGCTCCATGAAGAAGACAAAGGTGCTATCTTCCAACGTGAGTGCTGGAGTATGAAACTATGTTGTGCATAAAGTCAGGAATATGCATGACCTATTGGTAAACCTACAATATGTCAGATATGAACAAACTATGTTTCCAGTAATGATCATTTGTGTAAACCAATTCTGACCATATCCATATGTTCAATGCTATGGAGTACACCTACGATATGTCAGATATGAATATATGTATCAAATTGGTCAAGAATATTGAAATGTCACATGATGATCATGTGTTGACCAAGCCAAACATTTGACAACAGCTACAAATTTGACCATGTAAGAAAATGATAAAATCAACAGATAATCCTAAAGGACATGAGGTTTTATTATTTGAATATATGATTTTAGTCTGATCTTATACCGGATTTTATGAAACCAATAATCAATTTTTATGTCCTTATAACAAGAAAGCCTACATTTCTTGGCAACAATGATCATTCCCGGGAGCCAACTTTGACCCCGAGAATAAGGGTTGATCAAGGTCCATGTCACAAAGCATAAACATTTATAGCCATGATATCAGCACACACTTCAACCTCAACAGGATGCCCTGCTCTTTGCATGTCAAGGATGAATTGTGTTTCTTAACCCACAGACTGTATCTACCCAAAACGTTTTATGGAGAGGGAAGAGCTCGGGAAGTCAAGTGTTCTGGTGAGTGGCATGCTAAACTCACTTTAATTGAATACCTTATTTTCACCACATTCAAGAGCAGCGAGTTCTTTCTATAATAGAGGGGGGGTCTTTCGCAAGATCTGCTGGTGACCCATTGAAACAAGGGACAGTAAGATTGGTAAACTTTCTAGATGCAAGCAAGATGCACTAGGCCATGGATACCATTTACCTTTGTTGTTTTCAGAGTCTAAAAAATCAACCTGAAAAAGTGCTTACCACAGGTCAGAGGTTAGGAGAGGTGAGAAGACATATCGTTAACGGGGCGAAAAGGACTAGAGGTAGACTTAAAAGAGCTTGGTTGGACGCAATGAAGAAGGATATGTTAGTAGTTAATGGAGGGGATGACCCATAATGGAAATGAATGTAAGGATACTCATGTAACCGGCCCCAAATTTGAGATAAAGTCTTCGTTTTTGTTGTACTAAGTGCTCACCATACTTGATGAGAAAACTTAGAACAAAATGATACCATAAACCATGGCGCATTATCATTCCAAACTATGGTTTCATAACAATTCATAAAAATTAGGGTTAATTGCGGACAGACCCCCGGTAGTTCTATTTCTATGGACAGACCTCCTGAGTGAACATTTTTTACTCTTTTAAGAGTCAAAAGAAATTTACTTAGGGGCACTATGTGCAATTAGGCAATAATTGAGGGGGTCTATCCACACCAGCAGAATTACAGAAGGTCAGTCCGCAATTGGGCGATAGTACAGGGGTTCTATCTGAATTAACCCTACAAGGAATAAAGTTCATAAATCCATTTCACTCTTTATATGTACAACATGATTTGGGAAGGACACTAACATTCTCCTTCAAAAAATTAAGTTATTTTTCTTGAGATAAACAAGGAGCTAATTTAAGCTAGTCCATTGTATATTTAAATTTCAAATTTCCCCTGAAACTGTCTTACCCAACAAAAGTTCATCAAGAAACAGGATTGTTATAATTACCTTAAGAACTCCAGCAGCTGATAAGATCTGTTGTCCATGGCAAATTGATGCTACTGGTTTCCCCCCATCAATAAACTTCTTCACCAAAGTAAGAACTTTCTCATCAAGAGCAAGATACTCTGGAGCTCGACCTCCTGGGATCACTAGTGCATCATAAGATGAAGCACAGGCGCTATCAAAAGTCGCATTTAGAGTGAAATTATGGCCTGGCTTCTCACTATAAGTCTGGTCACCTTCAAAATCATGGATGGCTGTAGGGCATTTTTCTCCTGCAATTTTCTTTGGACAAACGGCGTCAACTGTACAACCTAGAGCCTGAAGAGACTGAAATGGAACCATAACCTCATAATCCTCCATATAGTCCTGCAATTTGTGATTAACGAAAATCTATTACGTTAAGCCTAGAATTACACGTTGTCGCACAAACATTTTAGATTATACATTTAGTAGTTAACGCGAACATAAATAGGAAATAAAGAAACAAGAATGTTCAAGTAGTGATATACAAGTCAAATTGAAATGGGTAGCCCTCAATTGAAAATATTTACCATCTTAACATCCCTTTGACAGAGTCTGTACTACAGCTCCGATTGAAAAATCATTATGGGGTTTATAATTTTCATACTCTCTCAATCATCATCATGGTCATGGTGCAATGAGCTCACAAGAACAGAAACAAGATGAGGTTTCTTTTCTAACTTGCGAAAATCAACATATCTTATAAACAGGTTTAATCATCTAGAAATAAATAGACAGCACAATAAATAGATAGCACATAACAGAATTATAGTGCCAACAATATATAGGACTGGACAATATGTGACAAGTACAACTGAACAGCTGTCAAAGGCTTTATCATTATTATTAATATTTTCCTTAGAGACATGTAGCGGACTAAATAAAAGTATAAACCGCTATTAAAATACAGAAGAATCGTGACATAATATTAACCGTATATTTTTGAAAGAAAATATGTCCAATACATTTCAAAAGTTGAATTATGAAAGTTCTTATCTGCAAAATATCCTCATGACATTGCTTTAGTAATAAAGTGTACTTGCATTCAGGTCAGATTAGTAAGCGACGATAAATATTAGTTGACAAGAAATAACTGATATAGTAAAACGACGACAATACTAGTTTGCAGTGCAAAAAGACATACCCCACAAAGAAACAGAATCTTTTTATCTGATCCTGTTACAGAGCCACCTACAGCTTTCACAAAGAGCTCGATAAACTTGGGATGCCCCTCATATGTTGGTCCAGTTATCAGATTTCCATCAGCAACACATGTAGCCATTGTCTCTGGCTCTATCCAATGAGCACCAGCAGCAATTAGAACTGGCTTTACAGGAGGATATGAAGTACATTTTCGGCCTTTCACCACATCTGCTGCTGCTAAAATCAACTGTCCGTGGCAGATGGATGCAATTGGCTTTCTACTTTCTTGAAATTTACGAACTATAGTCAAAACCGAGTCATCCATTGCAAGATACTCTGGAGCTCGTCCTCCAGGAAGAATTAGACCATCATATTTACCCACATCAATCTCAGAGAATGTGGCATTGAGTGTGAAATTGTGACCTCGTGACTCAGAATATGTCTGCAATCATGACAATTACGACATGTGTCAGGAGGATTCTTTCTTAAAACATGAAAATAAGCAAGGGCACATCAATAATAGTGTACAATACGGTATCTCACTCATGAGTATATATTTTTGAGACCAACCACTTGTTCCTAATATCTAAATGAAACTGCCTGTAGCTGGAAGCCTAATATTCAATAATGTGATCAGCCTCATCATCTGAGCCACAGTAACCAACTTTTTTTTAACCAACTTTAAATGACAGTCTTGACCCAATTGACAGAATCATAACTACAGCTGTTGCTATAATATACAGAGATTTCTAAAATTTGAGTCAACAACGATACTCATAGTTCCATCTTTTCTAGAATGGGACGGAGCCCAGTTCAAGTAGAATTTAGGCAAAAGCAGGAATTAATTCCAGATCTCGTACACAATGCAAACAGACTCTGATAGTTTTACACCGTGTTATGAAGGCACTTTCTCAATTACCTACATTTATTGTTAACTAAGCTAACATTCAACTGAGCACAATCATAATCCATTATAGAAGAAATTTTAACTTTTAACAAGGAGAAAACACTAAGATGTCGTGATTAGAGAAAAATAAGAGAGGATGAAGGAATTCTGAATAAGGTTTATACACACATATTTTCCATAAGCAACACTGTATAGCTTAATCATGCCACGTAAAAATAACCACTCAGATATCTTTGCAACATATTACCGTTAGAGGTGACAATGTGGAGGTTAACCCATTAACCCTAGTCATCTATCTTAATTTATAGGATAAAGCTATAATGCTTTTACCTTCATATCTAACCGGTCTAACCGGTAGTGCAGGCCAAGTGTCTATACTTACCTATTTATGCATTTATCTATGAGTTAATTAACTCTTTGCTAACAAGTATACATTCAAGGATGGATGTACATTTTTTGGGGGGCCCCATGATAATCATATATATATATATATATACTATATATATAATATATATAACATATATATATATATAGTTAATATATATAGTTATATATATATATATATAGTCATATACACACATCACGTTTTCATGGTTTTATAATATAGTTATATATATAGTTATATATATATATATATTTTATAATATATATATAATATATATATATATATATATATAGAATATATATATATATATATATATATATATATATATATATATATATATAATATATATAATAATTATATTAGTTATATATATATATATATATATATATATATTATATATAATATATATATTATATTATATTATACTATATATATATAGTTAATATATCATAGTTATATATATATATATAGTTATTATATAATATGATATATATATATATAATGTATATAATAAATATATTATTATATATATATAGTTAATATATTTAGTTATATATTATAGTAATATTATATATATATAGTATATATATATATATAGTATATATATATATATAGGGTTAATTAAGTTAAAACAAAATTGGGGGGTTAGGGGGCATGGGAGTTGATTTTAAAGAAAAAACTTCGTAAGGAAGAGAAAAAGGAGAAAGAGAAAACTAGGTATTCTATTTTTGGATAATTGTACCCAAAAAAATTTGCTCTTTTCCTCCTAGGTGCCCCATAAAAGTTGTGAAAAATCAGATATTTATTCTACATTTGAAGAAAGTGACTTCCCTATTAACATCATATATCGGTTTTGGTCGCCTCTCTCCTCTCTCTTCCTTCGCTCCTCGTGAGGGATAGAAGATGCACTATGAACCAGAAAACACTAATTGATAGGAAAACTTAATAAGTGCTCCTTTGTGTTAGTTTTTGTGTATGAAAATGGATCATATCTTTATTGGATTGTTATAATAGTCAGCAGACAATATTTATTGCGCATTAACGAAGACGTATTGTGTTGAGATTATGATGTCTTTTTTTTACTTTTATTTATGTTTTATAATAATGACTTTATCTATCCTTATTGGTAGAATCTTATTTATTTATTTAATAAGTCGTTTAGTATATAATATGTATGAAGTGCCCCACAGGGGAATGGTTTGTGTTCTTGTTGCCTCTCTAACTTTATCTACAAGCAGAATCATTGTGGATATTTTGACTCTTTTAGTCTTATAATTGATAACTTTAACGTTGAATTTTGTTGTCCAATCAATTTTGACTTTGTATTTGGGATATCGGCTCCATACAATCTCATAATTCGTTGCTGTATGTAGATAACTTATTGGTATTCTTCAATGCGCTCTTATGTCTGTACCATCCCTACTATTTGGTATTGAGTTTCGCGCTACTTTTAACCTGTATCAGTTCAAGTGGCAATGGGATTGTGCCGAAGCATGTTATTTACCTGTTTGTACATACAAGAGTGTATCTTTTCATTAACGATATGATCAAAAAATTATTGTGAGTTTGACTATGTGGAAGAAACGTTGTTAGACGTTTGCGTTAAGATTTTTGTTGTTGCTGATGAGACCAGGTGGTATTTTCTATTTTGTGGTGCAGTGGTAATTACTCTTTTATAAGCAGGTATTTGACTAGATAAATCTTGATTTGAGATGTACACTACTTCTGGCTATGATTTTTTTCCATCACTTTTTAATCTTGCTAGTGATGATAAATGATAACTTGTTTTTGAATAATCATCAAGATCTTTCTATTTCCCTTGGTTTTAGCTTGCAATGTTTTATTGTATTGACGTAGTTGAGATTGTAACAAGTCTTCGCACACATTCCTCACAGCTCTTTTTTTATTGTTTATTTCGATTCGGTGTATACTGATTGGCATTAGACTATGGTTACCTGAATAGGTGCTTCTAATGTTGAAGCCATTACTCGTCGTCCGACACGTATCCATCACCATTATCATACTCCAAATCATTGGACACTTCTTGCATTATAATGCATAAATGTTCAATATCGCATGTACTCAATTATACATATACATTTTCTAATTCAAACACGCTTGCATACATTTTTTGGACATATGTACCTCACTTCCAACAAATCCCCTTCCTCGAAACTCATTCTGACATCATGGTTACTTCAAATCTAATGATTTCCCCTTGACGCGAGGGGTGTGTCTGGCATGTCTAGTTAAAAAACTGTATGGAATAGCAATGTTCCTAATTTTGTTTTCGGTAAACAGTTATGGTACTAAACTCTGTTTTTCGGTATATGCGTTTGTTCCAATCTGTTTTAGGTAACAGGGTTATTAGGATTTCTATCTGTTTTGTTTTTGTTTTAGAATGTCGGCGTTATATGTCTATGATTGTTAGGATTCTCAGTATATATATGGAACAATTGGAAGAGAAGAAACATTGGGATATTTGGAGCACAGAAAAAAATACTTTTCTAGAGCTATTGGTTAGGGTTTTGTTTGGAGAGAATTAGAGAGTTTGTTAGGTGAAATTTAATTAGGAGTTTTTTTTTGAGGTTGATTCTGTATCTAAGTTTACAATTGTAGTACTCTTCTTCAATACTATTTTAGTGAAAATAACAAGAGATTCTCTTTAATCTCCATTTTCTACTGTATATATATATATATATATATATATATATATATATGTATGTATATATGTACATATATACATATATATATGTATGTATATATGTACATATATACATATATATATATATATATATATATATATATATACAGTAGATTTCTCATGCGAACGAGTTCGTACGAATCACCTCCGTGTTTGTTAAAGCAGGGGTCTTTTTGAAAAATTGGCGACGACGAAAAATAAAACGGCACTCACGAATCTCGAGCTGGGGATTGTTAAAGCAGGGGGTTTTTTGAATATATAGCGACGACTAAATCTACAAGCGCACAGCTCGTGACCCCCAATCTTCTTCCCCCATTTCTCCCCCATTTCTCCCAAAATCACAGCTTCAGCTCCTTGTTGAATCAGCCGACTTTCCTCCTCCGTCGAGTTCCCCAACTCCGCCCACCACGAAAGCAGCCTCGCCGCCGACAAAAACCGATCTTCCTTCGAGCTCGAGCGCTCTCTCGAGATCCCCATTTCTCCTCCTCCATCAAGCCACCTCCTTCCCCCAACTCAGGTAAGGATCACGGCCATCCATTCCTAGCTCGTTACAGGTTTTGATTAGGGTTTTTTTTTATTTTTTTGATTTCAAGCGTTTCAGCATCCTCTCCCCAACTCCGGCTCCAAGTCACCGCGGACGAGCTCGAGGTCGAAGGTACAGAGCTCTGTCGCTCTTTTTTTTAGGAATCAATCTATAATCCTTGAAAATTTGTTCTTTAATCCTGGAAAAACTTGTTCTTTTATCCTGGAAAATTTTGGTTGAAAGTACCAACTCCGGCCCCAAATTTGTTCTGAATTTGGCTTTTGATCTCTGTGCTTTTTGACTCTTGATATTATTAGTATTGTTGTAGAGCAGGGATATGAAACCCAAAAGCATCAACTCTGCATGTCCAATAAATTAGTTTGTTAGGTAGATTAACTCAAAAAAATTGAAAAGGGGAAAATGCAGTTTTTGGTTTAACAAAAGAGATGACCGTGAAGGATGTTTGTGTTCTTTTGGGTAATTATGTTGAAAAGGAACTTGACACTATACGAAGAAGCTATAGATGGACAACAACGGGTCCAATGCATTTTGAAAAGGAATCTGTGAAATATTGTTGTAGAGTAGTTAATATGCATCGCCACCAACAAAACATACACACCCAAAAAAAAGGATGCAGGCTTTTGATCTCTGTGCTTTTTGAAAAGGAATCTGTGGAATATTGTTGTAGGGTAGTTAATATGCATCGCCACCAACAAAACATACACACCCAAAAAAAAAGGATGCAGGCTTTTGATCTCTGTGCTTTTTGAAAAGGAATGTGTGGAATATTGTTGTAGGGTAGTTAATAAGCATCGCCACCAACAAAACATACACATTGATGAACGTTGGTTATGATTTTATATAACAAATTCCTGTCTAGATAAGTTAATGAAGTGAGAGCACAACGGTATGTTCCAATTTAAGTGTTCAGTGCGTAGGATAAA